ATTGGCCCAATATGCCTAAGGCGGGACTAGAACTCAATGCCTCCGGTGATTGGCCCAATATGCCTAAGGCGGGACTAGAACTCACCGTCTCCTGGTGATTGGCCCAATATGCCTAAGGCGGGACTAGAACTCACCGTCTCCTGGTGATTGGCCCAATATGCCTAAGGCAAGACTAGAACTCACTGTCTCCTGGTGATTGGCCCAATATGCCTAAGGCAAGACTAGAACTCACCGTCTCCTGGTGATTGGCCCAATATGCCTAAGGCGGGACTAGAACTCACCGTCTCCTGGTGATTGGCCCAATTTGCCTACAGCAGGACTAGAACTCACTGTCTCCTGGTGATTAGAATTCAGTACTCCTGGTGCCTTTAACCCCTGGCTCTCTCTTAACTGTCTATATACTGGTAGTCCTTGACCTCCCAAAAACAGTCGGTCGCCGGAATGCCCGTTGCCAAGTAAGGTGGTTATTCAGTCATGCACAATTCTTGCCACGGTTATTAAGCGTGTAACTGTGATAATTAAGTGAATCTGGCTTCCCCATTGACTTGGCTCGACGGGTGGTCGCAAAAGGGGATCACGTGACCCCGGGACATGGCAACCGTCATAAATTCTACTCGATTGGTTTCCAATTTTGATCACATGACCATGGAGATGTTGCAACGGTCGCAAATGAGCCCCCAGTCACATTTTTCAGTGACGTTGTGACTTCGGTCACTAAACAAGCGGTCGTGAAGTCGAGGACTTACCTGTATTTTCTATTATCAACCCTTTTTTTCAGGAGATTATTCCCAGGCCAGGCAGGTCTACCAAACCGCCCTGGAAGTGGCCGAGAAATCGGGTGACGGCGTCGCTGTGCGATACATCACAAAGGAACTGGCTCAGCTGGCGAAGAGGAAGCGGGTGCGATCCAGGGGAAAAACCGGCCTGCAGGAGACAAGCGCGGGCAAGGATGGGGCAGAGGGGCAGGAGGAGTGACCGCCCGCCCCCCCAAGCTTCCCGCCGTTGGCTTGCAAGAGAGTCCCAACTGCAGTAGGCGTTGCTTTCCGCTCGCAAGGGCAACACGGCGCAGGGACGACCCTTGATCTGCGCCCTGCCCACAAGGACGGAGCCTAGGGGATGCCAGCTGGGGGGCAGAAAGTGAGGACCCCCGAGGAGAGCCCCAGTTTGGAGCCCCGGGCTGTATAAAGCGGAGAGACCTGCAGCTTATGCAATAAAATTATTATTTTTAATTCCCCGGTCATTCCGCTAGGCCTCATGGAGGCTGGTCCCTGTTTTGACCGAGGCTTCCCGAGAGCCTGAAGCAAACTCCTTTTCCCCACAAAAACCCCTTTTATTAATTGACTGTGGATTCTGCTCCTTCTCATCCAGCAAAGTCTTTCATGGGAGGATTTACAGTCACTGACCTTATCAGGCTTGGAGAGCTGCCAGGCCGATCTCTGCAAAACTTGGCAAGGAGTCTCAGAGTGTCACGAACCAATGAAGGGAACTAATTGTCTCCTGCAAACTCCACTCCCCTTTCGCT